CCGGATTAATTTGCCAATTATTTTAAACAATTATTACTATTAATAAATAAAACTTTTTTGTCTAGCCGTTGCATTTTGATTGAAACTTTTGTCTTCTTCCTTAAGTCATAACGGTCATATTTTAAAATAAAAACAAAAAAGACCGTTGTTGATTCCAACAAAATCCCAGCTTTATCGATTCTCATTGTTTGTTCCGTTCCGGTCCGTATGTATATAAACCCTAAAACCAAGTGAAGTAATCAAGAAACTTCCCCCGAAACAGAACATCAAAATCCAAACCCAGTAAAAAAAGAAAAACAGAGTTCTCTTCTCAAAGTTTGTCATTCGGAGAAAATGGGAATCTCAAAATCGAAAGGCAACACACACAACATCTTCCTCCTCTGTAACTACGTCCTCTTAGGCTCAGCTTCAAGCTGCATCTTCCTCACAATCTCCCTCCGTCTCTTCCCTTCACTCTCCGGTCTCTCCCTCATTCTCCTCCACATTCTCACCATCGCCACCGCCGTCTCCGGCTGCTCCGTCTTCGCTTCCTCCACGGCCGCAACCACAAACGACAGATTATACGGTGCACACATGGTGGCAACAGTCCTCGCGGCCATATTCCAAGGCGCAGTCTCTGTTCTGATATTCACAAGAACAGGGGATTTTCTAAGGACACTCAAATCGTATGTTCTGGAAGAAGACGGAGCTGTGATACTCAAACTCGCTGGTGGTTTGTGTATTGTGATGTTTTGCTTAGAGTGGATTGTTCTTGTGTTAGCATTTTTGTTGAAGTATAGTGATTATTTGGATGAGAGTGTTGTGGATGAATATGATGATGGCAAGATTCAGAGGCAGGAAGAAGATCTCAAAGATTGGCCTTCTTACCCATTTCAACTCAAGCTTTAAATTTCCATTTCATTTAAATTGAATTATATTTGTACTATTCCATTTCATCATGCTTGTAATTGTGGGGGTTTATGTGATTATGTCACACTTTATTGAGTGTACAAATAATTTTATCAGTGTACTTTTGTATACTCAAAATAGTAATTTTTTTCTAATGAATTTTTGAAACACAAAAAGGTTTTCTATAAAGAAACAAAAACACATGGCGACAAGGCGTTAAATAACTCCATTCCTAAACTCTCTGCCTCTTTTGCGGTTCTCATCATCTTGACCTTTCCAATGTTCCCCGAGCCACCAGAAAAGAGTGGTCAACAACTAGAAGATCGATGGAATCAATGGATAAGCGGATTTGAACCAGGCTCGGTAGTGTTTTGGGCGTTTGCCACCCATTTCTTTCTCGAAAAATATCAATTTCAAGAACTCTGTTTAGGAATGGAGCTATTTACCCTTTTTAATAGCGTTTATGCCACCAAGAGGCTCATCAACAGTTCAAGAAGCGTTATTAGAAGGGTTCGAAGACCGGGTTAAAGAGCGTTGAATTGTTACAGGAGAATGGGTGGAAAAACCTTTGATATTGTCAGGGCCGTCCCTGAGATAAATGAGGCCATAAGCGAAACAAAAAACGGGGCCCCTACTTCGTATGTTAAAACCATAATCAAACGTATCTGATTTCATACATAAACAAAAGAGTAGTTGTATACACATAAAAATTTTTTAAATGGGGGCCCAAATCTAATGCTTTATCCCGCTTGGTTCAAGAACGGCCCTGGATATTGTCTCATCCATCAATAGGTTGTTTTGTAAATCAATGTGGATTGGGTACTATTAAGGGTAAATATAGATATGTATTAAGGGTCTCAATGTATCACAATAAATACCTCTACAAATCATTTTAATAAGACAACACATTCTAAATCTATATGGTATTAAATTTATAA